CCCCCCCATTATTCGTGCACACATTGTGGAAAAGACGGCCATTCCGTGGATCGGTGCTATCAATTGCATGGGTATCCGCCCGGGAAGGGCCGTGGAGGTCGCGGCACTGCATCCGGCCGAGGGAGTCGCGGCGGTGGCAGAACGCCGTCCGGCGGCAGTAGCGCCCCTGGCCGTGGGTCTGGCCGAGGGATAGGATCGGCGACAGGGGGAGCAAATGCAGCCACCAATTCCAACGCCCTAGGCCTCACACCTGATCAGATGACTCGGTTACTTTCCATGCTCGACGTCTCTTCTTCCGACAAGGATACTGGGTCTAATGGTGAGGCATCGGCTCGTGAGTAGCTTATTGACAGTGGCGCCCCTCATCACATGACTGGTAATATCTCTTTTTTAACTGATGTGGTTCCCATGGCCCCCTGTGTCATCACGTTGCCCAATGGCACACAGACTACAGCCACTCGATGTGGCCGTGTGCGGCTCTCACCCGAAGTAGTGCTTCGGGGCGTTTTGCTTGTTCCTCATCTTCAGTGCAATCTTATTTCTGTTGGTTGTCTTATTCGAGATACCTCTTGTCTTGTTATTTTTAACAAAAACTGTTGTGTCATACAGGATTGTGTCACGAAGATGGAGATTGGACGGGGTGATGCACACAATGGAGTTTTTCCTGTTTCGTCCATGTTCTACAGCATTTGCTACCCAAGTGGATCCTTCTCTCCTTCATAAACGCTTGGGGCATCCATCTGTTCAAGTTTTGTCGTCTCTTATTCCTTCGGCCAGTAGCTCTAAACTTAAATTATTACAATCATGTGAAATTTGTTTCCAATCCAAACAAGTTCGTAGCTCTTTTCCTATTAGTTCCAATAAAGCTACAAGTGTTTTTGATCTAATTCATTGTGATTTATGGGGTCCCTACACCCCTTGTTTAGCTACTGGTGCACATTATTTTCTCACTATTGTCGATGACCAATCTCGTGCAGTTTGGGCTTATTTGATCATTGATAAATCTGAAGTATCTAGTTGTTTGAAACAATTTTTTTCCATGATACAGACCCAATTTCATAAAACCATAAAAATTGTTCGTTCTGATAATGGCACCGAATTTGTCAATCAAGACCTTCGGTCATATTATGCCACTTTGGGTGTTCTTGTTCAAACTTCTTGTGTAGGTACTCCACAACAAAACGGACGGGTAGAACGAAAACATAGACACATATTAAATGTCGCCCGCTCCCTTATGTTTCAAGCTCACTTACCTATTGAATTCTGGGGGGAATGTGTTCGTACTGCTGTTTATTTAATTAACCGTACTCCCAACAAACTACTTGGTGGTAAGTCTCCATTTGAAGTTCTAAATCACAAAGCACCAGATCTTAGTCATCTTCGAATTTTTGGATGTCTATGTTTTGTACGACTCAGGACATCCAACAAATTTTTTCCTCGAAGCACCAAGTGCATGTTTGTTGGGTACCCCTCCGGCACAAAAGGTTGGCGTGTGTATGACCTTGATACTCATCGTTTCTTTCACACTCGGGACATTGCTTTTGACGAGAGCACGTTCCCGTTTGCCGCACATCACACG